ATTTATAATTTACAGATTGACTTCTCAACCGACTCTGTCCAGTCAGAGGCTATAAGCATTGCTCAGGTTTATTTTCACCTCCAGTTAACTTCATCTATTTTTACTCCTTACTGGCTGTGGCAAGTGTCAATTAATTAAAAGTAGAACTGGACACTTCATAAAGTGGATGAGCATTCTGACAATTGTAATGGTACTAAGGACTTTTGTGTCTAATTTGATGCAGGTTGTATTTGTAGGTCTCCACATAATCACTCCTTTGATTTCTATTGACCTTTTGAAGTACCCTAAATTATGTCATGATGTAAGTTTGTTTACTCTGCATGTGTACATTGCAAGCTTTAGAATTTACTTATGGAATTTGATATATCAGTGATCACTTGTGCAGTACTTCTCATTGATGTCACACATGTTGGAGGTTTATCCAGAAATGGTTGGTCAACTTAATGCAGAAGCTTTGGCACATATAATTGGAACCTTGGACTTTGGCATTCGCCATCAGGTAATGGTTTTTATTTTCTTGGAAGTTATTACCAATCACACAAGTCAGGGAAATGCATCTTATTTATCTCAGGGTTGAATAATACTCCCTCTGTTTCATATTGTTCTTCCTACTTTGACCAAATTTGTCTCACAAAAGATTCTAAGTGAGAAGAACAATGTGAAACATATGGAGTAAGAAAGAAAAATATAAAGATGATATTGATCCTAGCCTTCTACTTGTATATTAAATTCAAATGCACCATAAGTATCTTTAATTTATAATCAAGTTACAATTTACAACACATGACTGCAGAACAAAAAAGAAATTCAACATTGAATGAATGAATGAATGAAGGGGCTTCATTCATGTTCTAAATATACATCTGTTTTCAACCCAGTCTTCAAAAGAAAAAGCAAAAGATTTATACAATAAAAATTATATATAAAGAAAACCATCAAGGATCATTCACTTCCAGTCCAATTAGTTTTGGGTGAATCAGATATCCACTGGACTTAACTTTGTTAGCGGGGCTGCCACTTTTAGCTTCAGTATAGTTGGAGAACCACCGATAAAGTTCTATTTTCTTATTAATATACCAGGCATTGATGCATCTGTTCCTCTACCTTGTGGTGCAGGATTCTGAAATTTTTTACAAGTGCCTGAGAGCTTTGAAAGCCCTTGCTTCATTTCATTATAAAGAAACTATTGCTGGAAACGTGGGTCTAGGCTCACATGCTGCTAGTGGTGTCAAGGGTAAGGGGGAGAATATTCAGGAAGGAATTTTGAGTCGCTTCCTCCCTTCCCTGCTGCAGTTACTTCTGTTTGAGGATTACAGGTACAAGTTTGTTGGTAATTTTAACTAATTTTTTTTCCTTTTGGGCATCAGGCTCCATTGACTTTCTAACTTCACCTATTTTTACCCCCTTTTTTGGGTACTTCAGCACTGACTTGGTGAGTGCAGCGGCAGATGCTCTCTTTCCTTTAATTCTTTGTGAGCCAAGTCTATATCAGGTAATCATCTCATCTTATAGCACATTGAAGTCTGTGCCGGCATGTCTGCAGATTTTGTGGTTGTCATAAATCACTCAAAGTTGAGGCCAAGTTTGAAATATAAATTAGACTTTAAAATTACTGTTGAAGGATTTGGAACCTCTTTTGAGATTGAATTTGGCATCAATTCATTTAATCCATTTAAGGTATTTAAATATTGGGTGCCTGTTTGCTGTGGCTGTGTACTAAAGAAGTTTATATATTCTATGTCTGGGTCTCATGGCATAAGGGTATACAGAGCTCTTGCCTCGCTTCAAGCATAATTCCAGTTGCTGGCTGGGCTTTATCTTCGATTTCTATTGATATATTGAACAATCAGAAAAATTTTGCATTCTCAAAAACCAAATGATGACCCGTTTTAATGGCTAATGATAAGTGAAGACAAATATTAAAAAATGCCGATGATGCTAATTACTAGTTACTTTTGACACAAATCTACTACATTATTTTGATACTCCATCCATTCTACTAACACACAATCTATATAATATCTATCCTCTCTTCCTAGGTTTGTACCCATATTCCAAATGGAAACAACAAATAGGAGTATAGATTATGATTAATTAGTGGTTTGTGTGGTAAATTTGACTCCATAAAGAAAATTAGGTGAGGATAAAATGAGCAAGGACAATGAAAATTGTGTTAAATCAGCTTGGACTAGATTTTGCATGATGGGAACATGGTTTTTCTACCCCCATCACTTGTTGAATCTCTCAGTTTCGGTGCTCAAAAACTTGTGCTATTATGCTACCTGCTTTGATTTGAGGCAAAGCTACACTTCTAAATCCTTTTTGACCTACTTTGCTGTTACTGATCTTCAAAACTTTATGCTATTTCAGCGGCTATGCAGTGAGCTGATAGAGAAACAAACGAATCCAGCATTCCAGACCAGACTAGCAACTGCATTGCATGCTCTTACAAGCTCTAACCAGCTTTCTTCAACACTGGATCGTATTAATCACCAAAGGTTCAGAAAAAATCTTCTTGAATTCTTGGTTGAAGTCCGTGGCTTTCTGCGAATGGTATGACATAAATTTTCAAGGAAGCACAATCTTTTTGATTTTTCGAGAGGGGGATAGTTGAGAAGCATCCATAAGGTGGAAGACTACATTTTTTTGGTCCCTTTAATAGCTGTTGTATAAATGCCTATCATCTTCACACAGGTTGGTTAAATATTACAAGTAGTTTCAAATATAGTGATTAGGAAATTTGTTTAGAAAATTATATTAAATATTGTCCATTCTATATAGATGAAGGCCCTTTGTTTTCTTTTTCTTTCATTGAGGCCGCCTTGAGGGTATTGTAAACAGTTTTCTAGTCGCTTAATAACTGTTTGTTTGGCTGATTAATTTACCCGGTAATTAGTAGACCACAATATGGTTTTACAGTTAATTTTCTGTTATAAGAATTATTTAAAAGTCTTTACGTTGGATTGTTTTGAAATAAAGAGAGTAGCTGTGGAGGAGATAGGGATGAGGGTTGGAAACCATCAAATTGTACATGCAATAATAACATTCTTATTCTAGAGCAAAGTTGAGTTCTCCCTCTAAAAAAAAGAAAATATGAAATTAAAGTAGATTAAAATTAAAAATGAATCTTACTGTCAAAATTGGAATCAACCCTTCCAAATTTTGTTCAACTTTCAGTAGAGCTTCTTGTTAATGTTTACATGGGTTCTTTCAAACTATTTTACATTGTGTTTAAAGTATATATATACTTTTTATATTTTTCCTTAAAATAATACTCCCTCTGTTTTTAAATACTCTATCCGTTTCAATTTGTTAGTCTCGTATACTATTTTTGGACGTTTTAAAAAGTTTCTACCCATATTGAATGTATTCTACTTTAACTTAGTTTTTATTTCCTATTTTATACATAATAAATTCTAATTGCTTAGATTAATTGATTGTGAATTGATAAAATGACTCTTAAGTAAAGAAATTACTCCCATGATTTATGCAATTATGGCTAATGCTTTCCTAAAAAAAAAATAAAAAATTAAATAAGACAAAACTATTTGTGAATTGTTTTTTACTTAATTCTAGATTCCAAATATTCCCTTTTTTTTATTTTATGTGATTGATTCCATATGGGACTATCATATTGAAACGGAGGGATGCTTCATTTCTCCATGCGCGGAGTTTTAGGAGAAATTAGAGAAAGTAATAAAATATGGAGATAGTGGGGTAAGAGAGAATAAAAAATTGTAAAAAGCAAAAGTAGTTAAGAGAATTGAAGGCGGGAGAATATAAAATTAATAAAATATAATTTATGTTGGATCCGCTAGGTGAAAGATATGAATGAAATATTATAAAAGTTTTTCAAATAAAAAAAAATGGAACAAATATTTTAAAACGACCGTAAATGAAAAGTGGGGTAAGTATTCAAAAACAGAGGGAGCATTTCCTTTGTTTTCCAAGTATTACATGTGAATCAGATATAAATTTTAAAAAGAGGAGAGAGATAGAGAGGAATAAAATTAGAGACGCACGTGATAAAAAGAGAGAAAAGAAGAAAACATGAGGAAATGTTGTAATATTTGTGAAACCTTCTAATGGTAAATATTGCAATATTTGGAGTGAGTTTGGGCGCATAGCACCTATGGGCTAATTATGTAAATAGGAAGGTAAGGAAGTAATTTCCGCTAATTAACTTTTGCTTCTAAAAAAGTTGACTCTCTAATGGTACATTATAATGTACCATTATGCATGTATAATGTACCATTAAAATAAATTTGTCTAAATAGTACGTTTTGTGGACTATTACGAGTGTAGTGGTACTTTTTACCATTCTATAAGTTTCAACTTCTGAAAATAATTGACTCTCTAATGGTATGTTATAATGTACCATTATGCATGTATAATGTACCACTAAAGTATAAGTTATCTAAACAGTACTTTTTAGTTGTAAAATTGACATCCTATATGCGCTAAAATCAATAGACACTATGCGCCAAGACTTGACCCAATATTTGTGGAACGGAGAAAGAAAATTCCATTTGCAATATTATCAACTATGAATCAACGAAAAATCTTGGTCAAATTTTGAAAACTCGACTTAAAAAAATAGCTATAAGGCTTTCTACAAGGGATGAAACTATGAAAGGGATATATTCAAACTAATCACATTGTCAACTACTCTTAAGAACGGCCTTCATAGATGTATAATTTTTCCTCAAATTGTTAAGTGGACTTGACAATTCACGATAGAATCACTGTCACTGACCAAAAAAATTACTAAGTACAACAGTAGATGATGATTTGCCTTGTCATGAGACAGTGACCAGTTTTCTTTTTTTAACATTTCAAAATTGAACCAGCAATTATTTGATGCTTCCTAATATACTTCCTTTGCTTCTTTTAAAAAGCAAGCAATAATCCTTGCACACACAAGCAAACACGTTCACACGCACACAACAGCAACAACAAATCCCTTTTCCAACACTAGTAGTAGTAGATAAACAAATCTATTAAAATTGTCTTTCAATATTGTAAATGTAGATACTATTAAATGGCAAACAAGAAAATAATATTCTACAATATTCAAGCATAGTATTAGCATTGAAAATTAGAGCTTTAAAGTTTAGACTATGAATTGTACGAGTCAATCAGACAATTTCTATATCATTTCAAATCAGACAATCATACATAAAATACAGGACTCTTGCTCTTCTTTTGGTATCCATAGACCAGTTGTTATTATCATCCCAACCAATCATAGGAACATCATGGTTCCTCAAATTTCAATCGACTCCAGTTGTCTGCAAAGCAAGAAAGAATGCACATTAGCATGCAAGCAAAGTCGTATTCAAACATAACTACATATCAGACTTAATTGGTACTTTATTATACCTCATGAAGAAACTGATTGGAACTTATTTGAACTTATTGGGCATAAAACTTGTATTATTAAAGTGAAAAGAACACACCCTAAGTCATGAAATTGTTATAGCAAGTTGGCTTTGTATTTATTGATCATAATTGGTCATACTCTCTCCATCCCCAAATTAAAGTCTTGTTTGTCTTTGGCACATGTTGAAGATAAATATATATTCTAGGTAGTGGAAGAAGAGAGAGAGATGGAAAAAATACAAACTTGCCCATTTGATTGCAATCATAAACTAAAGCAACAAGTATTACTCTGAAGTAAAGGTAAATTGGGTACCTTATTTTTCTAAAATGAGCAAGATGCAATATTTGTGAAACTTCCTTAAGAGTTGAAAATAGTGCAATGTTTAAGGAGCGAAAAAATATAGGATAATTGAGTAATAATAAAAATTAGATGACAAAACAAAACTTCAATTGAAGGACAAGTTTTTTGGGTAAATTGAGACTTCTATTTAAATATGAAAGTACTATTTTCTTCAATGGATGTTAGAATCTGAAATTGACAAGATGGCATTCAATTTAAATTGATTATAAACAAGACAAGATCTGGTATAGAAGCAAAGTTATTGTACATGAAGTAGACTACAGAACATGGAGAGACCAAAGAACTTTGAACTTACAAAATACTTCATATTATAATAAAATAAGCAATATTCAATATTTATTTTGATCAAATACTAGTTACTTGGTAAGATATCCCAAAGCAACAGTAAAAAGAAGCAACTTACTACATCAAAATACTGCTTGTAGTCACTTGTGCAATACACTCTTCTTAGCCAGCTTAGGCTTCTTGTAGGATTGGTGCTGCAACATAAATTATAGTTAAAGTTAGTAATAGTAAATAATGGCAAATGCAGAATGCTTAACATTTAGGTATTAAACACTACCTTTTGCCTTTCCAAAGCCTCCTGATCTATTCTTTCCTTCCAGTTGCTTTTGCGTAGTTTAATTGGCCGGTTTCCAACATATTTACCTGCCAAACATGGATTTTATAAAAAAAAATATAAATGTGTGGCAAAGATTCTATAAACAATGTACAAACTGGCAAGGGAGAGCTAAGAATTTGCCAATCAATTAATTAAAGTTCCAAACTACTTCCAACTAATACAATTCTATTATTGGCAAGAAACAGAGTGCATCACTCTTTATAGACATATGTTACTACCTGACCAAACCCACAGCATATCTGGGAATCGAATGCAATTATCACACAATTATGCAATTTGGCCAAACAAAACAAGTACTGGTTTCAAATAAACCCCTGTAAGTTGGCAGCAAGGCCATAACTTCTAGCAACAGGCACGGAGGGTGGCAAAGAACGGGAAGTAATGAGAAAATTATTTGACAAACTAATTGCATGTAACTGATAAAAAACTTAAAACATGCAATCACGCAACTGACTAGGTGTTCTATAAATAGGTTAAGATATATACAGAGTGAAAGACAGTCAACACCACATCATCATTTTAGATATAGATATACATACCATTCATTTCTTTTAGAGCGGCGGCAAGATCCGTAGGGTTGGCAAAGCTCACAAATCCATAACCCTTAGTCTTACCAGTCCGTTTATCTCTAACCACCTATAAAAAAAATATATATTAAAAAGATAATAATAATAATAACCCAGTTAAATAACCACAAAGAAGGGAATGGGAAAAATCAGACAGTCCACAAAACACAATAACTTACTTTGGCCATGTTAAAGGAAGGAAAGCGTGAAAATGCTTTCGATAAGACGTCATCATTCACCTCATTTCCAAGGTCACCACAAAATAGGCGATAGTCATCTGAAAAATACAAATCAGTCAGTGCCAAAACTCAAATACAGCAGCATGAGGAACATAAATGCATACATGAGACACAAAGACAAATTAGCAATACAAGAACTCAAAATTCTGGATTTCTTGGAATACACAGACCTTGCACAATTACTCTATTACCAAAGAAGTCTGAAAAATCACATTTACCCAATTAAGCAAAACTGCAAAAGATAGTCTTGTGACAGCAATGAATGAACCTAAATTTCCTGTGGAAGAAGAAATAAAAAGATCCAATTTTTTGGACATCAATCGAACTGGCTACATCAAGAACTCTGTAGCATTTACAGGAATTTACTCACCATCACTCAGCTTCAGCCTACCATGTTTAATTCCCAGCTGTTGCCTGGTTAACACACCAATATACAGCTCTTAAATGATTCTAATAGATGATAATCCAAGCAAGAAAAGGTACTAAAGTGAATGAATCCTCACCGTTAAGGATACAGAAAAACATCAAAAGAAAGAGTGTAGGCGAGTTGGTGAAAACAATGTGAGAGATAATTACATACTAGCTACATGCAAATACAATTGTGACAACAAATCAGCTTACAAGATGGTCTGAACATTTATTCAATAGATTTGGCTGTTCCCCAGCTGACAGTACTCTTTTCTTGTAATATTTTGTGGACAACACATCCAAATATGCACAAGTCAGAAACCAGATAAGCATAAGATTCATTAGTGTACAGATCCAGATCAGAATGCAAGGGCTGCCAAATTTCAGAGGGTTAATACTCTGAGGGTGAGGCACTGATGCAAAGTTGGAGAAAATACTTCTTTATGACATAGCTACAATAATTCTATGTTATTATAATCAAAAGAGATTAAAGTATTCACAGGTTGGTAGCGCCAAAACAAGATTCCAAGAAACATACAACTATACCAATACAGGGTATATATCAGAAAACGAAAAGAATAAACATACTTTCTGGCCACTCGGCAAGTGTTGGATCCTCCCATGCCTGACCAGCAGCTCTACGAGGTACTGCTTTCTTCTTTGTTTCCGCTTTATGTTCAATGTCACTGCTTGCAAGAGCTGCTTTGACACTCTCTAGAGCTTCAGGAGTGATAGTTTGTGCATCCTTTTGAAATAATTGTTGTGCCTGTAATAGAAAACAATAACATTATCAATAAAATACAGTGAAAAAAGTAATGATACTATAAACATAATATCCCAATCCACCAGTGCAGCAAAAGACAACCATGGTTTGTTTGCTATAAGTTTAAAATAATAAAACCAGAATGAGGTTTTGATCCCCTTTCACATCGCTCCACAAAAATAATGTACCAGGCAGAAATAATCGTAACACATGGCTAACAAAGTCGCCAAATGGAGTGATTGAACCACCCAAACATACAAAACTTTTCAATCTATCTTATCTTACCGTTAAAAAAGGAAAGGTTGGCTTTCCAATCCCATTCAAAGCACATAAATAACATATACCTATCCATGGTCAACTAAAAAGTCTTAAGAAAAGCTCTTAAAACTACTTTAGTATAGCCTTTTTAAGAGCTCAATCAGTCAGAAGGCAACTCCAAATTCTCACCAGAAAGACAAAAAAAGTCATTTAGTAACACAAGTGGTATGCATTTTGGAATTAGGAATAAGAACAAAATAGTATTCTTTAAGAACTTGGTTCTCTCTCTCTCTCTCTCTCCCTCCCTCCCTCCCTCTCTCTCTCTCTCTCTCTCTCTCTCTCTCTCTCTCTCTCTCTCTCTCTCTCTCTCTCTCTCTCTCTCTCTCTCTCTCTCTCTCTCTCTCTCTCTCTCTCTCTCTCTCTCTCTCTCTCTCTCTCTCTCTCTCTAAAAAGGTAATTCGTTTCCAATAAGGTTCAGCTCTTCTTTTCAACATAGTTATTATTTTAAAAAAAAAAATTCATAATCCCTACATTTCTTTAGTACTACCTAACCCAAATTTATGAGTTCATATAACAGCCAAACAACTCTATTGTGACCAGACTGATTATAACCTCAAAATAAGATGTTAGCTTGAATCCATTGTTAAAGCTATTGCTAGGATACCCATATTCTTGTATTTTTGTCCATTTCAACTTCTACTTAATGCATAACAATTAACAACACATATATTTCCAACCATGCAAATATTCAAAGCATACAAAACTCCTATATTGAACTTTAGGATGGTACAGTTAACAGCTGAGAAGATTGGCTAGGTGAAATTAAAGGTAGCAGTGGGAAGACAGCAGCAAGCAGAGTTTACCATAATGATGGTAAACAATGCAGCAATCCACCCCCTCGGCCCCTCTCTGCCCCTAAAACCTCTCTATCTTTGTTGTGCCAGTGGGAAGGTTGGATAATTTGGATGCAGCAAAGCGGCCTAACCCAAGGAGTGTAAACTAAATTACTCAATAACTTGGTTTCAGTAATGGTTTGACAACCACATATTACACAATGGATTAGGAAATAATTGTTTCGGCATTTTGTTAAAAAAGCAAGAATCGGATATAGCCTAATATATTTGGAATCGATAAAACTCAGGTGCATTGACCAGAGACAAACGTAACCTGATAACAACATAGGACTTTCCATGTTTAACACAAAGCACTTCAAGCAAGCCGTCATAGTTAATTACAGCAAATCCATACAAGCCGTCATAGTTAATTACAGCAAATCCATACAGGATCACTCCCTATGTTAATGTTTTTGTTTGAAAAAGATGGTGTGACCGAACTCTAACTCCTTTGCTTTCCTCAAATATTCAATGTTTTCTAACATCTATTCTTTCTTACATCCGCCTCAACCAAGAAATCAACCATTACTCAGAAAAAAACTTAGTAACCCCCAATTACGCAGTTCACAATAAAAATACCCACCACCCGAAACAACCTAACATTGAATCCTAACCCTAATCAATTCCAGTTCCATAAAATATCAACTACCCACAACATTCAATACCGAACAATTCATCAAATTTCAATTTTTAAACAGCAATAGAGCTTTAAAACCTATCAAATTAGCATAATATCTAAAAACTAACAACAAAACCAATGCAAAATCATCAAAAATTCACAAGAAAAAAAGATTGAAATCAAAATCTTTAACAACCTGCTGAAATTGGGGGAGCGTGTAAACCCCTGGTGCAGCAGGATACACTGAAGGGGCGATGGGAGCAGCGGTAGGAATGACGGGGACGGCGGCAGGAAGCGGAGGTTGCGGCGGCGCAACGTATTGAGTTTGTTGGAGATGAAACGGCGTCGGAAAATACGATCCATTTGAATATGTAAACTGCGAAGAAATTGACGCAGATGACGATGAAGGTACCGTCGACATCGCCTGAATTTGAATTGCAGGGACTATTGAATGTGAATTAAGAATAGTGTGGGATTGATTTAGGGTTTGGGAAATTGGGGATAATTTGAAGGGGGAGAGAATTAATGGTAGTGTAAGGAGGAAGAAGTAAAAGAATAGGGCGTATTATTCTACAGTAGATCTTTCTTTCTCCGGGAAAAGTTAACCAAATACTTCAAGAAGTTGTTGGAAAACGTTTTGACTTCGACTCTTCTAGTAAGCGAACTCTGAATACGAATACGAATACGAATACGAATACGAATCGGTCTAAATAGATTCGGTTTTTGTAATAGGGCACACATTAAGAAAACATATTCATTATACGAAATAATTATTTAATGATGACGAATATCTATATGGTAGGTAAAAAAAAAAAAAAAAAAAAAAAAAAAAAAAAAGGAAAATTAGAAATAATAATCCCAACTTTCATCAATTTTGGTAGAATAATCCCAACTTTGGATTATACTGAAATAATCCGAACTTTAGGGGGTGTTTTTTTTCTTCAATTTCAAATGTCGGTTACTAGTTTAATGGGTTAATATTTATTTATTTTTGGTTAAAGTGACATGTGTCATAATTGGTTAAAAAAATTTAATAAAAAAACAAAAAAAAATAGAAAACCCTTAAATCCGACCACCAACCATGGACGCCAACCACCAGCCAAGAAACTCAACCACCACTCACGAAATCCGGCCAAACATTAACCCTTTTCCATTTTCTCTCTCCTCTCAATTCCCCAACCACGAATGCTGGGATGTGACTGAGGTGCAAAGCTCAGGTTTCCATTTTTCCTGGAGTAATAAAGGTCATGGGAGAAGGGAGAGTGAAAAGCAGAATTGAAAGATGCTTGTTCTACCAGCAAAAGGAAAAGAAACGAGAGACAAGAAAACATCTTTGATTAAGAAGTTTCCTGATTATGATCACCTTAGGGTGGTGGGATGCCGTGAATATTGAGCTGTCAAAAGGGATTATCCTGGAGCTAGGCTAAAACTCGTCCACTTCTCCTGGAATGCATGCTACGAAAGATAGGGTCGAGTGGACGGCAGCCAGAAGGACAGGCCTTTGACTTTCTTACTTCGGATACCGGCGACCTGGTCGAATTTGGAGAAGCTGAAACCAAAAAGGTCTGCTCTCGGCCATTCCACACGCTGCCTAGCAGAGGCGTGGTTATCTGAAGTGGGTCGGCATACCTGTCACGAAACTTATTTAAAACCACTCCCTTAATCCTGAAATCACCTAAAAATCACCCCTGAATTTTCGAAACAGCCTTAAATTTGCGATTTTGGGTATCGGTGGCTGCGATATAGGGATTTTGGTGGCTGCGTTTTGGGGTTTCGGTGGCTGCAAACTTGGGATATCGGTGGTTTCCTGCGGGAATAGGAAGGAGTTTCGAGAAGGGGGGAAACAGCGATGTAAGGGGTGGAGGATAGGCGGCGGTCTGGAGAGGGGAGAGGTGGCGGTCTGGCTATGTAACACCCCCGATTTACTAATTAATAATAAACAAGAACTAAAGGAAAATAACGACCATTAAATAAAATTTGCGGAAGCATACACCTAAATCGGAGGAATTACCGCCACACTCAACAACCTGTCGAGCGTTAAGGCTTACAAAAATCCCAATAATTATAACCCAAAAAACTAAGTGAGCTATTTATACAACTTTATAAACTCGTTATAACAAACTGATCGAAACACTTGAGCTCATTTAGCTACAACCACTTGATCAACCTGTTTAGACAAACTTGACTGCTCACCATTAAGGACAAATTCCAAAATAGATCGTCGCAGGGCCACCATAAGAAAAAGACATGGACGCAAACACAAATAGCACAACAAAGTAACATACACGTCAGCAAAAAGCTGAGTAATCATCACATATCAGAGTATATAGAGTATAATTGAATAATTGACACTACTAACTCAATTAAACAATGTAGTTTAAAACTACATTACACATTGTATTCTGAAAATAACCTTTATCAACTCAACCTCGAATAATAATACGAACCTTTACTCAATCAACCCATATAACACATAGGTGTGCCATGCTCGTTGTTCTATACCTAGCCTTGGACATGGGTAATTCAAATAACAAACCAACAAGTAAAAAAACTTGAATACTCCTAATAACCAGAAATTGAACCAGACCACATACGGGTCAATTCCCACTATAGGGCACCATTGAAAAATAAATAATAAAGATTGTACCTCATTCTTAACTCATGATTATCATCCGCTTACCAACATGCCAAGGACTAAGGTATATAATGCCGAGCCTCAAACCAAGAACAAAACAATAATTCTCAACCTTTTGATCTCACACATCGATCAAATAACCATTCACAAATTTATAATATAATAACTCCACAATGGCACAAGTTCCCAAATAATATAACAATTCAATTCGAAAACATCTCAACTCTTAGGGAAATAAAACTAGTACCCAAAAATAATTAACTCACAGCACAAAAATAATACTCCCGCATTAACAACCCTAAAACCTCGATAAAACAACACTCCCTATGACAAAAATATTAAAACCCTAGAAATAATTGTACAATCAATATATACAACAAAAATAATATGATATTCAAATCAAATCAAACATAATAATAATACGAAATATAATACAAACATCTCTAAAATTTAGTGTGATTACATATAATAAATAATAATTAAACATGAAGTTTGTGTGATTACACATAATAAATAATACAATCAAATTAATCAAACATCTCCAAATTGATATCGTGTGATTACCTTTCGGAAATAAATAGATCTAATAGAAGGGGGAAATGCTGCAATTACACATGAGCTCCAAACTTGCTACTATTGATCAAAACTATTTGCATGACTCAAAGCTTTGGAATAAAAAGTGGTTTGACTAATATATGATCATGAAGATATATACTTAGGGTGTGTTTATTGGGAGTCTTGTGGAGAGTCTTGAGTGGAGTCTTGAGTAAGTCTTACCAATAATCTTGCATGAAATTTGGAGGAGTCTTGAACGAGTCTTTAAAAACCAAACTCTACTCAAGACTCACTTGGCATATATTTGTTGACCAACAAAATTATAGAGTACTTTATTTTTCATCCTTATGCTTCCAACAGCTTTCAGTGGAATGGCCCCTACCTTGGTGATACTTGCAGTGTGCATTAGGGTTCCAGTTAACCGACCTCTTCTCAACTGGTGGGTCCCCAAATGGTCCAATGGGAGTTATAAGACCTTTTGCATTTAATCAATCAAATGTGGTGTCATAACTCATGCCAATAGGAGTGAAGCTCCTCCTAAATGGTTTCTTCTGTCCTTGGTTGTTCATGGCAAAAACTTCTCATAAATTAAAGGTGCTAACATTATTTTAGTGGGCGGTTTTGGAAGAAAAAGGATTGTCGTTCTTTTTTCCTTTCCAGCCACTGTTGGAGTTATTGTTGGCAGCTTTTGACTTAGCCAAGTCATCTTCAATATTGATCCCAATGTCATAAACGGCCTTTAAGGTATGGAGATTATTTTGATATTTGAGATGCTTGGAATATTTTTCTTGGAGATTTTTGATAAACAGTCTCACAGACTCTTTTTCACTTGGCACCTCAATCATCTTAGCTGAGGTTTCTCTCCACTTGTTAAAGAAAGAGGTGAAGCCTTCCTTCTCTTTCTGCTTGAGGATTTCAAGTTCTCTATGGTCAGTCTCGACTTGAATGTTGCACTTGTACCTATCTACGAAAGCGTTTGCTATAGACTCCCAGGTAGAAATATTTTCTTTCTCAAGAGAAAAGAACCATTGTTGGCAAACGGTCTCGAGAGATAGTGAGAAAAGAGAAGGGAAAACCTTCTTATCGATACCCTTGATACTCATTATTGTTTCAAATGCTCTTAAATGAAAGTAAGGGTTGTCAATTGCTCTGAATTTTGGGATGTCGTTGGCGTTAAACTTCTGCGGAAGAAGATCTTTGTCTACCGAGACCCCTTGTGATGTAAGCTCTTGAAATTTATAGTCGCTGGACAACTTGCTTAAACTCTCTTGCATGAGGTCCATTTGTTGTTGCTTCATGGGATCGTCAATCCTAAGTGCGAGAAACTTCAGTGTCTCAGTCACAGTAGCCAGTTGGTTCTTAAGATCATTGACTTCTTCTTGAGTTTCCATTATAGTCTTAGCTTTTCTCTTGCGAGCTATGGGTTTGTCAAAAAGTAGGACTTGTACGAAGAGGTTATCTTTGATTAACCGTCCTTCCTTTCTTGACCACGCGCTGTAAATTAAACCATTTTGCGTTTTAATTACTTGACTCGAATCAACTTGACTTTATAGTTTATTTTAAGGGAAAAAGAAAGATAAAGGGTGCATGTTTTTGGCAAAAATAATGTACATATTTTTAGGGAACTAAGTATTATTATCTTTATTGGAGGATTAATATCCGACTTACCCCCCTAAAAAAATGACGGAAAAACGCGCACACAAGACTCTCTTAATCATGGTCAAAGTATGTGTATTGGTGTGTGCGTTGAGTGTAAGTGACATGCTTGGACTCTTGTGTAAGACCATGGGACTTAGTGTCTAAACTTGATCATTGATTCAATTAAATATTATTGACAGCAAAATTAATCGAATTAAACAGAAGACTGATTAATTAGACCCTAAGTGATGACTTGACAAATAATCCGAACTGTCGGCCAAGCGACAGGACTGGCGTCACACTGTGGAGCTTGGCGCCAGACAACATTTCTGTCGTCAGGCGCTACACTCCATAGTGTGGCGCTACAGCTCAGACCTTGGCGCCAATATTGGAGCTTCGGTCTGGGACTGTTTTCGGTGTTATTAGTCAACTGGGGTATGCCTAAAGTCGTACTAGGTCAATTCCGATAAAAATATTAGACTTTATTGACTCAAATTAATTAATTAATTAATTAGGCAAAATTCTTTAAGCCATTAATTTATTTAGTCTCAACACAAGTCAATAAACGGTTAAGAGAAACATAGAATATATATGCACAACAAATAATGCACAATTAGTCAAGTAGGCACAACATGATGCAATGAGTTCGCAACCTAACCATGGCTCTAGTTCTCTAAAGTTCGGGATATGGTTTAGTAAATAGAGGGTCCATGGTTAATTGTTCGGATGCACCGCGCGGAAGCCTAACCATGAAGGTTTGGCGCGAGTGGATGGGACACGGAGCGTTCAATCGGGTAGATGGAGCATGAATTCCCAGAGGGTTATGTCCATATGTAGAACACATATGGGTTTCAGAAAAGTGAGAAAAAATTCAATCAGGAAGTAGGATCGAGCAAACAATACGAAAAACCGGTC